CTAGCAAATAAAAGAGACTATAGATTACCTACTCTGGCTTCTCCAACTTAATCATTTTTTTTATTCCCAATTTTCAGTCATGACTTCTATATTTACGTTTATGAGCGAAATGTGTTAAATCGAGTCCTTGGGTTCGGAGGCTCGTTTCCACAAAAAGCCTGTTCCCACAGGACTTTAGAGTGTAAATGCTGTGCCCTCCAGTCGATTTTTTTGGAATTTGGGGAAAAAAATACACACGTTCAAAAATAAGTGTTACGATATCTTTGACGCAATAACAGAAAAAAACCCAGCTTCGTTGACTTTCTGCTTACAAGTGTATATTGCATCTCACCTTACCAATTTTATACATACAGTTGTTTGCATACGTCGTCATAGAGTTTAGTATTCTTTCTGGGTTATTCATCTGTTTTTCTTTTGTTCTGCTTCCTTTTCTTCGACACTTTCTCGCCACCAACTCTGCAACAACCGCTACCACAAGATTTTATTTGCGTTTTTACTGACAGTTCAAAGCGTTATCGTATCTCTCTGACAAGTAAGAGGCAGACAGTTGAAAGAATAATTTCCCTCTTCCATCTCATCGCACCCCTGACACGGTTGCACTCAACAACTACATGGCCTCCGTCTACACTTCGCTCCGCGCATGCGTGAGTACACAGACACGCGTATGCGTGAGTACACTGACACGCGCATGTGCATAAAACTTCTCCATTTTTCTTTCTTCTTCAACATCTTTACAGACGGGTATGATCAATGATCGATTCTGTACGTTTACCAATGCTCTCGATCAACTCAGCCTTTCTTTTCTGTCTTTAGCAGTTATTTTTTTTATCTGTAAACAGAACTTTTGACCTACTAATCGAATAATCAAGAACTAATTGAACTGTCAAACAAAAATCAAAAACCACCCCCGCAAAAAATGACAAACTCTGAAAAAATACATTGAATTATAAATGACTACTCTGAGGTCTAAAACGAATTTTTAAAAAATCGTCTGATAATAAATGCGAATGTCAGTGTGTCATACGTTTTTAATTAAAGGGACACAACTCTCTAATATTCTATGCTGCCTAGATTACAAGGTTCGGTATTTGAAAGATTGACGAATTATTATCTTAGCCGTATTTCCTCTCATTTCGAATGGTCAGTTTTGTATTTTGCTAAAAACTCAGATAATATTAATAATCCTTTTCTTGTTTCACCTTTTGCGCTAGCTCCCACGTTAGCACGTTGATAAAACAGTTCATCTCGCAGACCATTGTTAGTGACATGTGTTTCAATGAACGTGTTCCGTGCTACACTAATCTAAGAGTAGACAACTCCAAGTCTATCCTAAGCAGTATGCTTTCAAAAGCCACCTCATGTCGCTGAATAATTGTGATCAGATGCCATAAGTGACGATCTTGAACAAATATCTCTTCCCGCCTTCTAAATCGCTACGTCGTCATATTTTTCCTATCTAGGATACTGACACAGCAGTTTTTAGGATATTTTACAGTTGTTCCTAATTTGTTTGTTTTTTTTTTCTCAACAGAAAGACGTATAAATATACACGGAAACAATATTTTTTGTGAACGGATCTTTTTAGTGTAAATATACCGAGAAGTGTGTCTCATTGAATGGGTTCATAGGGAGAGGACTTGTGATGGGGTTTATGAATGTAGATCTTGGTTGACAGGAGAGAGTCGGCTTTTTTCATTTCTCACATATTTATTTGTTTTGTTTCTTTTTTTTTGTCAGACTTCGCTATCGCCATCAATAATATTTTAGGAATGAATTACAACAGACAACAGACACAACTTTTTCTTCGCTGCAACCGAAACGATGATTGTAATCTTTCTAAGTTCCTTCATATAACCTAATAATAAGTGATGTCATATTGATCTCTCAAATATACTGGCTAGTATGACTTCTTCATATCTATTGAACTGTTATTCAACGTATCTCCCTTTGTCTTTCACTACACACACGCACACACACACACATATATATATATATATATATTTAGAGATTTTTATGCTTATACATTCTTTTTATAGATACAAATATTTAAGTAAATACTCTGTTTATAATAAACAGTATTAAACAATATTTACCGGCCTGAATGTCCGAGAAATTTTCATAGAACATATTCGTCCTCCGACAGGATTCGAACCTGTATTCTATACGGAACCGTCATATAGCCTGACGTGGCTTTTAACCAATTCGGCCACAGAGGTTAGCAAGGTCATTTACTGCTTTTAAACTTCAATCATCCATGAATCTCTTACGTACATTCATATCTGCTCATGGCGTATCAAATGTAAACATATGACGTCACACATTATGAAATGGACAAAGTCCGACAATTATTTTAAGACATTTTTATGTTTATACATTCTTTTTATAGATACAAATATTTATGTAAATGTTCTGTTTAGGAAACTATAGATAAACATAAAAAGTTACTGATTAACCCTTACGTGATGAGGAATAACAACTGATGAATAGGTAATATATATATATATATATATATATATATATATATATATATATATATATATATATAAAATGGTGGTACTCGCTTGGAAAAACCTTGGATACTTCGATGCACAATTGGCCCTACTATACTGCACAGTCGACAAAATTAAAACCAAACAACGCGCATGCGCGTAATTAACAATATAAAATGGCGACCATTTGCCCCTCGCATACTACAAGGTATTTCAGAGTTGGAAAAATCATGAATAAACTAGACAAATATATTAAACTATATGTAGAAAAGGGAGAACATTTTCATTGATGAATACTCAAAACGCGAAAGGCCTATCTGGTTAAGTGACATGGTATTAAAAATGTTAATAAGCCTCTATCATATTAGTTTCTCCAGCATGTCAGCTTTTTATATTTCATCGCATTTCTTGACAAATAATTTAATACAATGCAAAATATATTTTAGTCTAAAAGGTTTTCGAAACCTCTGCTTTCGTTCCCCACCACCACCTAAACAACCCCAACCCTGTAAAGCCAATGGTTAGTGATTGGTTACTTGGGAAACCGCCCCTTTTTTGTCAGATGCTTTAGACTCTCGTAATGTGTCTGCAAAACATTCAAATATTTGAAATATAATGTTTATTATTAATATACTTAACAAGCTGTAAACTTCAAATCAAATTACAACTGATTTCGTCCAACTTCTCATTTGAAATTTAAATCTATCTGTTTATATTTATCTAATCTCTGACAATTCTTTAACAATAGCATCTCTGTAGCTGTCTATATTTCTGAGATGAGTTATGAGGCACAATGGATAAAGGCGTTGGTTAGATCCAGTGACAGGACCCAAAAGAGTGTGAGTTCAATACCCGGTTAAGGCAGTTGAGAACTTTCAGAGGGAAATTAACAGGAGATAACTGATAACTGACATCCATTAAACATGGCACGTGGAACTAGAACAGTCTACCCCAGTGAGCGAAATAAAGGTTTGAGTTCGACATTCCAACCAGCCGAAGAAGGCCGGAGCGTACAACGGCCGAAACGTTGTAATAAATATGGCGACAAAGATGAGGACAATAGTCCAAATAATGTAAATAAGGACATGTCTAAAGACGTTGCTAATAATTTTAATCCGCCCAGAGTGGCCCACTGTAGATGTGTTAGCAAGAATAAGAATGAAACCATTTTCAAAACTCGTAATGTGTTAAATAAGGATTTTTAATTTAAAAATATCTCATAAGTGTACGAAAAATAAGAGCCACATCAACATCTCGATGCATTCGTTTACTTGCAAAATCTACGATGATTAACTATAAAATATGTGTCTAAGATAAATACGAAGAGACTGAATTGGATGTTTTCAACCTCAGTCTGCTTCTGCAGCCACGTTCATGTAATTAATGTACGAAGAAAGACAAGAGTTTATTTTTACAAAAGTGTTTAGAAAATCCAACGAGGAATTCGATTCATTCTCGGGAAAGAGAGATGAACAAACGATAAACCATTTTCAACAGCAGTTTAAAGAAGGACAGGAATTATAGGAGGACAAAAATATAGTGTTGGTCACACAGTTAAGCTCAGCTGGAAAACAACAACATTTTAACCGTCTATCACAGTTTGATTATATCTATCGATCTATCTACATCAGTCTATTCATAAACGTCTCAATTCATTCAAACCTATCTATTAATATATATTTTATGTATTTCACTCTGTTCGCATTTATCCCTCTTATCTTGTCACACACACACAAAAAAAAATCTATTTATATATATATATATATATATGTATGTATTAATAATTATACATATTATTCCTTACTGAGAGCATGGTTCGGGGTTTCATGAACAACGCAATCTACAAGTGGCCGTTACATAATTTAAAATTTGAAATTATGTCTGGTTATCGTAATGTTGACGTAGATATATATTATATTGGGATAGCAGCTTTTAATTGTAAAAATTATATTTCTCATTTAAAATAAACGGGATTTGTGTGTGTGTATATATATATATGTGTGTGTGTGTGTGTGTGTGTGTGTGTGTGTGTGTGTGTGTGTGTGTGTGTGTAAAAAATTTTAAATGATTTTTTTTATTTTAGAGTGGGGAATATTCATTTTTATTATTAAAAGGGAGATTACTTGTTCTAATATATATATATATATATATATATATATATATATATATATATATATATATATATATATATATATATATATCGAGTTTTGCATATAAAGATTTTAGCGCTAATCGAAAACGCATTTATGGAATGCGCATTAATCGAGGATGTCTATATAGAATTAATGGATTTATCTTTAGATTATCATTAAATAATACTTCAAACTTTATTCTAACGGATACTTCGTATTTCAATAATGGGTTATCTATTTAAAATAAAATTATCCGTATTAATGACGTTTGAAGTTCCTGACTTTCAAATTCCCTCTTTGGTCATTTTTGGTTGCTAGGAATGGTATGTCTGTGTTAAGTGTATGGTCTCTTTTAGTTCTTTGAGAGTTTTTGTGATGT